TTGGGCATCTGCTGAGTTTGATCTAGCTCAGATCAGGCTGATAGTGTATCAGGACTGCGAGAGAAGAGGACGACAGGTTCTGTTTGACTCTAAAGCAATACATAAACTGGACGCATCTGAGCCGGTAAGTTCCTAAATGGTGTGTGTATGTGTGTGTGGGGTGTCTGTGAGCACTGTTTTGGGAGGAGTCACATGCTCTGTAATCCAGCTTGCTTGGATCTCATGACAGGTGTGACTGCTCAGCTAACTGGGTCAAAGCATTTAGCACTCATGAGAGTGAGTGTGTGGGTTCTATCTTGAATCATGCTTGCTGACTTTTGATTTATGTGGAGTTTGGTATAATACTTATTTGAAGTGCATATTTTAGCATAAAATGTTTTTGTGTATAGACAACAATTATGTCCAAAAGATCCCCATTCAGACAGATGTATGTTAAAAATACTTTATAATACAGTTAAAATACTTTATTGTGCATGCCAGGCCAATAGTTGGCAAACTTGAACAGCATGAACACAGTCATGTAGTCCATCATTGTTTTGGTTGTACATATGCATAAATGTATGTACTTGGATATTAGCTCTTAGCTTTTAGACCATCACTGTCTCTTTGGAAATACATGCCTTATCTTACATTTTTGTAAAACTGCAAATACGTACTTCTGCATATGTTTGACTGCAGTTTCTACTTAAAATGAATTCTGTGGCGCAGTACAATATCAACAACTTTTGTTCCTTTTCACACTAATGATATTTGTCAACATATTATCGAGAAATAAAGATTTATTTATGCGCATATCTTTGCACAGCACCAAGTAAATACCACAAAACATCTTAACAATGTCCAAGAATTGTAATAAAAACATTTGCCTCATCTTTCTGTCTCCATTTGGACAACTCATTCAGTTTGCTCTGTAGTTCATTTTGTAGTGTTTTGAGTGCTAAGGTTTGAGTCCAGGGAAGCATGATTCTACAAAACAGGGGAAAGCAATGTAGAATCAAGGTAAATCTATGTGGTAACAGTGCACTTTTCTCTTACGTTTGCTTTTAAAAAACACTATTGGATGGGTTTAGCTTATTGGTCCGCTTGTTCAGCAGTACGACAAGCCCCACCTGTACAAGAAGCATGTGTAACTGAAACGTATAATGAAATGTATGACATCTTTAAAACTATATCGTCTAGTAGTGGATTTGTCATTTGAAATATGCAAAGAAACATGCCAGATGCAAAGTATATTACATTTCGCAGAAATGTGGGTCTGTGCTTGTATTTGTAGCCTTGGTTGTTATAGACTGAACATGCAATGTGTTGTTTAAACTTCCCCACCATGACAATGCCATTTTTGTGTCGTTCTGATAAAAACAGCCTTTACGTTACATAATAAATAAAAGACTCTTACTTCTAGTAACAAAGTGCTCATAATAACAATTTGTAAAAAAAAAAAATTAAATAAAAAATTGCATATCTCTAATCACATCAGTCTCACCAAAACAAGTTGTTGTTTTACAGTAGTGGCACAATCTAATATGAAGTTTTCTATAAAAACTAGTAGTGAAATAAAAGGTCCTGATGTGGTACAGGAAGAGTGTTTAGTTGTGCAAACTGAATTGTATTTGCCTTATGCATACTGTATTTCCACTGTTGCACTACTAAATTCCTCTACTGTTTGTATACAGGCTTGACAGTTTTGAATCAAAGATTTAATTTTAAGTCAAACCCCAACTATACCCATCAATCTAGACAGTTGTTATTGGACGTCTCTGGCTCTCTCTGAACAGAGTGTGATTTATTGTCAGTAAGTTGTCACATGATTGGTCTGTTTATTCAGCTCTTCAGCTTTTGTCACAAAGGGAGAGAGAGAGAGAGAGAGAGAAAAGAGAGAGTGTGTGTATTGAATCGTATCAATTATGCTAGAATATTGCGGTGGCAGACACTTTCATATCATTGCTTATGTTTGTAAAAGTCTAGAAATATTTTAAGCATGCTTTTGACGTGCAGGCTAGATAAGGAAATTTATAGTTATTTCTACAGTGAAATATTTGTTATAGTGATTCTACATCGTTGCACAACTGGTTCACATACTTTCTGTGTACTCTTATAATTTTTATTTTCAACTTGTGTGTAGAGAGAGATAAAAAATAGCATACACAATCATGTTTGAGATTTTTTAAATAATTTAAAAAGTCTCTTTCTCTTATACGCAAAAAAAACATGTATATAATCAATATTGTGATATTATTTCAGTTTTAATGAGCTTTTTCTATTTTATTGTTTTAAAATGTTATTAATCGACATGATAGCAAAGCTGAATATTCTGCATCATTACTTCAGTCTTCATTGTTACCTGATACTACAATCATACTACAAAAGAACTTCATTTAGTCTCGATTTTCATGGAACAATATGAAAATATGTGCCGTCTCTATTGATCAATCAGTTTGTACATTTGTGTAAAAACCCTTTAGTATAATAATATAGTAGCCATTTCTGTGGAGAAATCCCCTTGAATCTGTAATGACCAAGAAGATTAAGATACACAGTGTGATGTATCATGTGAGTGACCGATTGTTTCTTACAGACGGCTGATGAAACCAAAACTCCCCCTAACCGCAGTGGAGCTTGCCATATCGGCAGCCAAGCAAATGAGAAAGACAAGCCTCCTACATATCAGGTTTGTGCATTTACACTCAGAAGTTTAGCTTGTGTCTTGGAAAGTTATTGTAGGAAACAATAATATTCAAATGATATCCAACTACACTTCCCTGTGTATGTATGTTCTCTATGTTCAGTATACCAGACCGGCTTCAGATGTGAACATGCTTGGAGAGATGATGTTTGGCTCTGTTTCCATGAGCTACAAAGGTTCAACTCTTAAAATTCACCACATTCGGTGAGCATTTACAACAAGCAATATATATTATCCAGGAATTAGGACTTCTGGAATTTGTATGTGAAACATGGTGTTGTGTGACAGGTCTCCACCGCAACTGATGGTCAGTAAGGTTTTTTCCACCCGGTTCGGAAGCAGCAGCACCTCTGGAAGTACAAACACGTATGTCTCTTATTTCCTCTTACAATTTCATTTCTTTTGATCTGGCTGTATAAGGGAAGAACTGTTGTTATCACTCATTCTGTTTTTATATTTACTACTTAAAGGCTTCAAGACAGTTTTGAGTCGATGAGCCAAACTTTTCCTAGTCACACCAGCAGCAGCATAGGTAAGATATTTACAAACACTTCATCCTTCTTAGAAATGTTTTATACACTTTTTTCCAAAACCTAGTGAGCTACCGAGTGCCAACGTACACAGCAATTTTCCACATAATAGGTTGTTTACACTTTTCACAGAGAAAAAGAAAGGGTATCTTAATTATTCTGTTTTAAGGCAGAATTCAATGTACCATTCACAGGAAGACACTAGACCAAGTATACACTGATTAAAGCTCAATTAAAAAAATCCAAGATGGCCAATGAGAGGAAATGTTGGGGACATTCTACCAGAAACATACATTTTTACTAATAAAAGATGTGAGGGCTTGACCTTTAAGCTTGTTGTCCTTAAAAAATCTTTTAAAAACAAGCATAAAATCATACAATTCAATGAGAGAACGCATCCTTGATCACTGTCAGCTTCCCCATCAAATTATGTCACATCCTTTGAGTCAAAGGTGTATTGCACGCATTTTGTGTTTAATGTAATGCAAATGTGACAGGACTGACTGAAACATGGGAACAATTGTAAAAATTGTTTGTATTTTTTATATATATATATATATATATATATATATATATATATATATATATATATATATATAGGATTTATTTGTATAATTTATTTATAATTTCATGTTTTTAATCAATTGATGTGAATAACAACTTATGCTTGTTATTTCTGAAATTTTCTTTTTCCTAAGCTGGTTGGGCGGTTTTAGCTGGTCGAGCAGCCTGAATTTAGAGGGGGTTTTGCCGTTTCCAGGATGATTTCAGACATTTCCAGCCTGGTCTTAGCTGGTCAGGCTGGAAAATGACCAGCTACAACCTGGTTTAGGCTGGACATAGCTGGTTTAGGCTGGGCTCCCTGCCTCGCTAGCTGGTCAAGCTGATTTTAGCTGGTCATCTCTCACCAGCAAAGACCAGGTTGGAAATGGCTGGAAATGGCCAAAACCCCTCTTGTCGACCAGCTAAAACCAGCCAACCATCCTAGGCTGTTTTAAACTAGATTTTTCAGCGAAGAAATAACACATTTAAACATAACAAAACTATTAAAGTTGTAGGTTCAATTAGGTTGAGGACAAGGACAATGACAGGGTTTGAACTAAATGAATAAGATATTCCTTTAAAGAACAACTCAAATCAACCGTCAGTTCATTTTAGAAATTATTTGGATGAAATACTTTTCACTCACTGTATTTATGTTTTTATTTCAGGGACAGATAATACACGTTTGTGGTAGATCCCAATCATTAATTATATTTCATTCAGTTCATAAAAGCATTGATAAAAAATAGTTCAAATTAATGACAATTTAACTCAGTGTTTGGTTGTGATGTGTATTTAGAGCATTAAAAAGTTTTTTCCTCAGGAGAATTAAACAGTTAGCTTACTTACAAGCTAATATCAAACTCTAGTTGGAAGGAGTAAACTATCATAGTTTTCTCCACAGGGGAATTGAGTAGTTAGCTTAACAGCATGCTAACATCAAACTATACCTGAAAGGAGTAAAACATCATGGTTTTCTTCTCAAGGGAATTGAGTATTTAGCTTAACAACATGCTAACATCAAACTCTAAATATGGGCATCCTACAGAGGGGAGAGCTAAAGCTGTTTGTAGTGTTTGCTCACTGCAGTATTCTGATTGTTGGGATTTCTGGTCAGCATCACGGGTTATGTTTTCTACACAATTCACTGCTAAACATGATTGTAAGTCGAATTAATGTGAACAGATGGGACTAAAAAAAGCAAATACAACAACCTGAAAAAGTGGATGTGCACATTTCAATAGAATGGCAGCTCACTAGGTTTCACTAGGATTCCTAAATCTTTCTCTGAATTTCATCCAAGTGTTCTCCTTCTTAACATGGCCTTAAACTGCTCTTTCCAGGAGTACGCCATGTACCTAGCGCTCCTCTGCTCTCCCTGGTTCGGAGCGCATCTTTTTTTGCAGGTTTGTGTGGAATGCTGAAGCAGCGTGAGCATGTGTTCATCTCACATGCACTCATCCTTTAGCTATGTTTCATTTTCTACTGTGTGTTGTTCTCTCTGACTGATTAGCCCTCGATTGATTTTAGTCCTCTGACCTAATGCACTTCCTTTATCTCTGACCCTGTTTCACTACTGGTGTTAACGTTCTTGGGTATCACAACAGTCAAGGTAGAATGCAATTTACACCTGATAATAGAATGCAGCTATGGTGGCGTTTGAGAGATTGGATAGCAAATTAAATTGTAGATCATTTACATATGAAAAAAGGAGTAGTTCACTCAGAACTGAAAACTCTGTCATTTACTCACCCCACTCACCCTTCACTGTTGAACACACAAGAAGATAATTTGAAAAATGCTGGAAACCGGTAACCATTGACTTCCATGGCATTTCTTTTTCTTACTATGAATGTCATTGGTGTCTAAAATACTTCAAAATATCTTCTTTTGTGTTCAAAGTTTTGTAAACACTTGAGGGTGAGTAAATTATCATTTTGGGGTGAACTATCCCTTTGCATTGTCAATTGTCTGAAATTGATGTTAATTCCAAGAGTAAACGGGGTCATTTTGGGACAGCAGCTATGCTGTGGATGAGACTGCTGGATTAAGATTTTGCTGGTTAACTACACGCTTTTAGATGCGTTCACGCTTTTTAGGGTGTTTGTTGTGTGTGTGTGCACGTGATTCTAACCTGCATGATCTTATTTTTTTAAACGGGCTCAGGAACCTCAACCTCCAGCAAATCGAGCACCTTGTGTAGCAGTACGGATGCTATTTCTTCCATTCTTGCTGAATGATATGGTTTAATGATTCTCTTTTTCCAGCCCACAGCAATCCGGTGGACATGCCGAGCAGAGGACACAGTGAGGACGGAGACAGTGGCATAGCTCGCTCGGGTATGAGCACTTTAATAAAGGGCAAAGTCAGAATATATTTAAAGTCATTTTAAAATTTGAAATAATGACAGAATTTCTGTGTGAAACGTCCGTTAAATGCAGACTTTAAAAATGTAAGTAAATTGTTCTATTGAACAAACATTCCTAATTGAGATTGAGGTCAGTTCAATGTTTTTTTAATCGAAATTACAACAGCAAAGATTCTAAGACTTAAGACTAAATAAAAATTTTAAAATAATTATTCTTTCTGTTTTTAACTTTGTGTTAATAAAATCATGTAGCCAAAACATATCACTTATTATTCAGATAGCTATACAGTAGGGCAGTATCTCTAAACAGTAAACTGATTATGTTGGCCATTTGTTATGAACAAATATTGTTTAATTTGGTTCTGGTCGATAGCAGATATTTAATTGTGCATGCTAATGTTCTCTGCTTTGTTTAATACATCATAATTTATAAACTTTTGTATAAAAAAAGCTTTTTATTCTACTATATATCTGTTATCTTCAATACCAGGAAATTAACTGTTTTGGCTTAATTAGTTGAACTTTTCACTAAAATGCTTTTGTATGTAAATAAATGAATACAAGTAAGCAGTGTTGCCAGATATAGCTGATGTTTTCCAGCCCCAAACACTCCCACCTCTCACTCACACACTGCACTTAATATTGTGTAGATTACACTACCTATTACAGTATATTTTAATTTTGAAATGAGGTATATAAGTTCATCCCATTTGGCTTTTTAAATTCTTGTGAACATAATTAGGTGCTCCATGTCAATCAAACAATGCTTCTATGTCTGTTATTGATGTCAATAAATGCCATTATTTACCCGCACAAATTTAAAACCGCTCAATCTGGCAACACTACAAGTAGATATGTTTTATTTGATCTTACTGTAAAAGGATAGCTCACTCGAAAATGTAAATTCTGTTATCATTTACTTACCCTTCACTTGTTTTAAACCTTTGAGTGTCTTCTTTTCTATTCAACACAAAAGAAAATAGTCTGAAGAAAGCTGGAAACCTGTAACCATTACCTCCCACAGGATTTGTTTTTTTCCTACTATGGAAGTCATAGGCTACAAGATTTCAGCTTTTTTCAAATTATCTTATTTTGGGTTCAACAAAAGAAAGAAACTCAAAAGTATTGGTAACTATTTGAGGGTGAGTTAACATTCGTTTTGAATGAACGATCTCTTTAAGACACTTTATTTATAGAAGTTTTTCTAAAAACCTAACACCCGATTGTGTACATGATGTATATATGTTAACAAAATTATCTCTGTGTTATTACATTATACTAACTAGAACATGCACCAAAACACTTGCAAACAATACAGCAATTATACAGCACCACCAAAAACAATAAAAAAAAAAACTCTCAGCCAGACCAATGGAATAAGAAACAAAATAAAATGACTTGTAAAAATTACCAAAAAAAAGGATTACAGAGACATTATTAACCTATACATCTAAGGAAGGGGCCCCATATTTTGTCATACATCTTCTGTTTGACAAATTTAGAGAAAGTAACCTTTTCAGCTTGAGAGCAGAAACCAAGTCAGCTAACCATTTAAAAAAAAAACTTGGAGTTGTTGTGGATTTCCACTCTACACAATCACTCTCTTGGCCGACACCATGCCAAACATAAGAGAGAGTTGTTGATGTTTAGGCCAATTTAGAGCCTGGTCTGAACATCCAAACAATGCTAATTCTAATTTCTAAATTCTAATTTTAATGTCCATTTCAAAAGCCTGGGAATGAAGTCCGAAGATACTTTTCCAAAAGTCAGATACTTCTCGACAGGACCTGAATATAAAGTTAAAGTCAGAATTATTAGCCCCACCTTTGAATTAAAAAAATAAAATAAAAAAATAATTTCCAAAATGATGTTTAACAAAGCAAGGAAATTTTCAGTATGTCTGATATTTTTTTTGTTCTGGAGAAAGTCTTATTTGTTTTATTTAGGCTAGAATAAAAGCAGTTTTTAATTTATGTAAACCATTTTAAGGTCAAAATAATTAGCCCCTTTGAGCTAGATATTTTTTTTTTTTTGATAGTCTATAGAACAAACCATCATTATACAATAACTTGCCTAATTACCCTATCCTGCCTAGTTAACCTAATAACCTAGTTAAGGCTTTAAATGTCACATTAAGCTGTATAGAAGTGTCTTGAAAAATATCTAGTCAAATATTAATTACTGTTATCATGGCAAAGATAAAATAAACCAGTTATTTGAAATGGGTTATTAAAACCATTATGTTTAGAAATGTGTTGAAAAAAAAATCTTCTCTGCGTTAAACAGAAATTGGGGAAAAAAATAAACAGGGGGTTTAATAATTCAGGGGGGCTAATAATTCTGACTTCAAGTGTATGACCATAGGTTGCGACTGTGCCTTTGCATCTATCACACAAATGAGAGATAGAAGGATACAGCTTATTAAGTTTGGGTTTAGTATAGTGTGACACAGATCAGTTTTAATAGAGTATTTGATTTTGGTGTCACATCTGTAGCCATGGTCATTACTGCTATTAATCAATGTAAACCACTCTATATTATATATTACAGCTATTGAAAAAAGAAAAAGAGAGGTATTATAATGTAAATATACAGTTAATCAAATTCCACTTCTCCATTGTGTAGCATCTCTGAGCAGTTTGCTGGCCACCCCGCAGCCTTCACCTGGCTCTTCCTTCAGCAGTGGCTGTGCCAGCAGCTACCAGCGCCGGTGGCTCCGCAGCCAGGCCACCAGTCTACAGCATGGCCCCATGCCCCGCTGGTGAGTTCAGTGATACACAAGAAACCAGTAAGAAATGGAGAAGCCAGATTAGATGTAGTTGTGTATGTCCGTTCATCAGGAACGCAGAGGAAATGTTCAACCTGTCTGACGAGAGCTGCAGCTCCAACCCTGCCATGATCCGGAGGAAGAAGATTGCCATCAGCATCATCATCAGCCTGCCGGAGCGAGAAGAGGAAAATCACAACTTTCAGGAGTTTTTCTTCTCCCACTTTCCTCTTTTCGAGTCTCACATGAACAAACTCAAGACTGCCATCGAGAGGGTGAGTGTGAAAGCGCAGGACAGTGATTTATTATAGCAGCCTTTGTAGGAGCAAGTGTTGTAGGGTTTCATCAGAATTCATAATCAGAATTTAAAATTTATTATTGATTTGTAAAGGTAGGTATAGGCAAAACGTGACAGAAAAAGGCAAAAAGTGTTGTGAACAGTCATTATGTTGTTATTTGCAGGCTGAAAAAAACAAGCAACTAGGCTGATATTAGACTGAGACACCATCTTTAGAATGACTTCTTTTAAAATGACTGAATTCGCCAGCAATGCAGCATTGTTGCTTTAAAACTGAAATGCCTTCAATATGTTCTGAATAAGATTTTGACTCACTAAAAATGCAAGTAGGTTTGCAAGCATCAGAACAGTGTGTCAAACTAACTGTCGTTTTGTGTTTTTTTTTAACATACAATAGAATTTTCCTGATTATATTTTTAAATGTATACTTTTAATTACATTTATACTATGGTTTACTAAACACAAGCACTAATTACTTGGTATAACAATAGATTAAGAACCAAATAAATCTTGTCAGGTATAATTACAACAAGAAACACTTGACATCTTATTGAAATACTCTATTTAAGAATTACTGTGTCGCCTCAAAAGACAAATTAGATATATATTTTTATTTAAAATTGCTTTCTTACATATCACACTGTTCTTCAAACCGCAAGGCTTCACGCAGACCTTGGCATAAAATATATATATATATATATATATATATATATATATTTGTAAGGTAAATATTATTAGCCCCATTCAAGTATTATTGTTTTTCGATTGGCTACAAGAACAAACCTCTGATTTACAATGACTTGGCTAATTACCCTAGCTGACCTAGTTAACCAAATTAACCTTGTTAAAGTTGTGGTCCACTATGATATCATATTTTAAGCTTTAGTTTATGTGCGATGTAGTTGTGTGAACATAAATAACATCTCTGAATGTAATACGCTCAAAGTTCAATGCAAAGGGACACATTTGCTTTTACAGAGTTACCTTAGCAAAGTCTACAGCAAATTAAGTTTGGGCACTACAAAAAAAAAAAACCATCCTGGTTAATGATGTCATAAACCCTTCAGGTAAAGCACACACACCCCACGCAGTGAAGGGGCGTGGCCAGAGGCACTGTAAAGTTATTACAGAAGTGCTTCCTGGTGATGTGTAGCTGATCTGCAAATCACAGCACATTATGTTAGCTGACCAATCAGAGCCTCTTGAGGGTGAGTCTTCAGAGGAACTAGGAAATATGACAGACATTTTCATGTTAGCTGAGTAGCTGTACATAATCAAAATAAGATATATGAGCACACATTGCTTTGGCCCCCATAAACACAACCAAGCCCTAAAAACACTGGACCACCCCTTTAAGCATTTCAATTGCACTTTAGGCTGAATAGTATATTGCATAATAACTAGTAACATATTATGTACTGCCATTATGGACAAAATAAATTAGCTATTAAAACTTATGTTTAAAAATGTTGTTGTATATTCTCTTCGTTAAATATAAAATTAAATTCCACACATATTCCTTAAAGTCCAAACCTTGTGTGAATTTTTTTCAGGCAATGATAGTGTGCAGAAGGATAGCAGAGTCCAGTCAGCGAGTGCAGGTCTATCTGTGCAGAGTGATGGAAGCTCTTGGAGAGTTCAGGTAAAAGACGAGCTGATATCATCACACTTCTTAAAGATTTGTTTTGTCTTCTTCATGTTTAGTGCAATTCAAGTTTATTTGTGTAGTGATTTTTACAATAACTATTGTTTGAAAGCAGCTTTACAAAACCACATTATTGCATTACAATACACTTTGAAAAAGTAAAGATTATTGGTTACCATAACTTTATTAATTATTAATAACTTTAAGTAATTAAAAAGAATCAGACTCAGAAAGAGCTTTATTGACAGGTAAGTTCACACATACAAGGAATTTGTTTTCATGACAGAGCTTCTACAGTGCAACAGAATTACAGAGACAGGACAAAAAACAAATAATAAATATATTTTAAAAATAGAAGTAAGTAGTGCAAATATACAACTGACAATTGTATGTACAGGTATATTACTTCATACAACGTTATATGTGCAGCTGTTATGTGCAAATTGCATGTAAAGTAAGTTGTTAAATAAGTGTATTTGTATATAAAAAGTAGTGATGTTTATTTCACAATTAATATCATAAAGTGTTTATGAGATGGATTGCCTGAGGGAAGAAACTGTTTCTGTGTCGGGCTGTTCTGGTGAACAGTGCTCTGTAGCTTCGACCAGACGGTAAAAGTTCAAAGAAGCAGTATGCTGGGTGTGAGGGGTCTAGAGTGATCTTGGCAGCCCTTCTGCTCGCTCTGGATGAGTACAGTTCTTGGAGAGTAGGGAGGGTTGTACCAGGGTCGGACTCAGCAGTCCGAACTATTCGACGTAGTCTTCGGATGTCAGATTTGGTAGCTGAGCTAAACCATACAGTTATGGAAGTGCAGAGGATGGATTAAATTATGGAAGTGTCACTAGTAACTAATAGCATTTAACAGTTAAAGTTGTTTTTAGTTAACCTGTTGTTATATAGTATATAGGTTATGTCTGTGTATTTGTAAGTGTATATGTGTAATAGGTGTATGTTCTGTCCTCAAAGTCTTCGATGGTTGGCATCATCTTTTCACAGGTCTTGATTTCGGTTGCACTTTCTATAAAGTAGCATTCGATAAACCTGAATAAACAGTATTCATACAGGTGTTGAAAATCCTTTAAAAATGTTTTAAAGGAATTTTAATCTGGTGTTTTCAAGGTTTGAAAAGTGCTTACATTTCAGAAAAAATTAAACTGCTTTAAAATGTAGTTGTTTTATATATATATATATATATATATATATATATATATATATATATATATATATATATATATATATTGTGCTTTTACATACGTTTTACACCATTTTATAAGCAAACAATACAAAATTATTTTGATTAACATTTAAGATGAAACATGACACATTTAGATGACATTTACGAGAGTAAATGACAAAAATTCAATAGTTTCAATAGTTGTCTTGAGACAAGCATGCCTTTCCAATTTTCATTAGACTACTAGACTATAGAATACTATAACAAATAGCATCTGATATAATGTGATGAAGAAAATATATGTAATTTGCCACACTACTTAATACACTTCATTGTACATTTATTATTATTACATGTAAATATTATTGCTTTTTGTAAGACACTCTACTGTATAACTGCAAGCTAACTGCATGTATATATTGACAACCCTTACACATCCCTTTAACTTTTCTGATTTTGACTAATGTAATGCACCCTTTTGTGTACGAAAAACCAGGAGTGTCGGTTAGAAATAAAATTAAGAAGTAAATGATCAATCTAATTATTGAAGCATTAATTTGTATATAAATAGATCACAATTCAAATGGACAAATAAATAGAGATATTTAGATGTGTTTATTTATATGGTGTTTTTAAATGTCATTTAATAAAGCAATAAAACAATGTATTAAAAAGTAACTTTTAAATTTAAAAATAAATAAACAGTTTTATAAATGATTATTTAATTCATGTTTAAAATGCAGATTAATAAAACAATAAAAAGGTGTATTAATAAAACATCTATAATACATTTAAATAGCTTTTTAAAAAGGCATTTGGCAAATACTTTTTTTCTCTCTATTTGCCACTTGCTTTTCTTTTCCTTGCTTTGCTTTGCTCCAGTTGAAAATAAACCCAGTTAAAAATGCAATTGGAAAGGCCACACATGGGAGCAACCAATCAACTTTCGCCTCAAGTTAAGCTAAACCCTCTTCAATTGAATTTAACTTGTGCTAAGAAAGTTTGGAAATGCACCTTAAAAGTGTTTTGAAAAGTGCTTAGATCTGACTAAACCTGGAAATAGTGTAAATTCTAAATGAAACAAAAAATATAGTAAAGACATCGTAATTGGAGCACTGGTTTACATTCAGTTCTCATCTGGCTCTGTGTGGGTCTGCAGGATGACAGTGTGGAACCTGTACATGGCTCCCCGCATCAGCGAACCAGTCTGGCTGTCCATGATCTCCCAGAGTGCCGAGCGAAACCTACTGTGCCAGCGCTTCCTGAAGGAGATGAGTTTGCTGATGGAGCATGGAGTCAAGAGCCAGTCAGTGGTCTTTAACCTTTTCAACTAAACATATTACCTGAAATCTTTAACCCTGTTCTTCTATTAGTACTGTGTAATCAAAGGGAAATTGAGTTATTTGTTTCCATCACCATCACTGATCCTAAGCGTGTCAGGAAACACAGTTGTCCAGGTGTGTCTGTGTGGCAGTCAGTCATGAGTAACTTCCTCTTGATTGCCTTATTTTCTTGAGTTCTGGTTAGACGATTGTGAACCGTTTCTTTCTCCTTTTTTTTTATTCTCATCTAGGTTTCTGTCAGCTCTCCTTACTGCTGTTCTTACACATCATTTAGCCTGGGTGCCCACCGTCATGCCCAGCAACCTGCCACCAATCAAACCCGCCTGCCAGAAACCCACTTCCCAGACGGTGGATCTGCTGGCTAAATCTCACCCGTACAACCCGCTGTGGGCTCAGTTAGGTAAGAGTACACAAGACTTTAATATTTACTTTTACAAATATATTCATAGTATAGTATTCAAAGAGCAGACAAAGCTGAGCTGATGGAGATTTGTGCAACTGGAGTGGCGTAAAGTTGCCCAAAACCAATGTTTTGGAAGACTGGTGGACATTTTAAAAAATACTTCTTCACTAAAGATGCAAGCAAATTAATCAAAAGTGATTATAAGTGCATTTATAATGTCATTAAACATTTATAAGCATTTTAAACAGTTCTTATTTTACATAAATGCTGTTTTTGAGCTTTCTATTTATCAAGCAATCTTTAAAGAATTGTGAGAAATATGACAATGTTACTGTTTTTGCGCTATTGTTATCATAATTACTAGCACTTCATCTATGTTAGGCTGCTTTGACAATCTACATTGTAAAAAGCACTGTAAAAAAAAGACAAATTGAATTAAATCAATTACATTTTATTTTAGTTATTGTAGCTGACTCAGCAGGCAATATTTTAACCCTCTACTGCATGGTGTAACCATATGGCAACATGATACTTATGTTCATTTCCCTGATGCTTTTTCTTTAAGACCAACATTACACTTTTTTGTTGAAAAGAGAAGACCTTAGTGTAGCCAATGATGTGCTTTGGTTAGGTCACATGACATGCAGTGTTTTTCTGTAGCACGATTTCTGACAGACTGGCGTTTATTGTGAGTAGTTGCTAAACGCAAATGTAAATGTCAATAAAAACAAAGGATCAAATTATGTCAGATCTACAAAAAATCTGAAACATCACCTCCAGTAAGTTATGATCACATATTCACAACACATTTTTTTTTTTTTTTTTATCAAATTAGTTTGTAAATGGATGAAATGTATGTGTTACCAAATGGCAACACTGTGCAATAGTGGAACATGCAATATTGCAACGAGTTAGCTAGCTAGCAAGGTCAGCTTTGAGCTTTTAAGTTGTAACAATAACAACATGAATGCTATTAATATAATGTTGATTAGTCAAATGTTAATGGTATTTGCATTATGGATAAAATCTAGTTTTAATTGCAGTACTATTTTTAAATAGATATGTATACAGAGAACAGTGTATTAGCGAACACCATCATGTTCTATGGTAAGTGAAACAAGAAAAGGACAGAACTGGCTCTTCCTGCTGATGAAAGTGAGGGTGAGATGGGTTTTAGTAACCATGACATAAAGACAGTTCAGGTAAGTTAGCTCAGAGGCAGATGAGACGGGTGTAGAATAGTAAATACTGTAATTATAAATATTGTCAGCTAGAAGCTACATTATTCTGATGCATCTTAATATATTTGACTTATTTATTTTTTAGAATATTTACTGGAGATATTTACGATTTATATTTACTGTATGTTGTATACATGATAATACAATATTAGGTTTATTTTTATAAAATTCAACAAAAAAATGGAATAAATGAAAGCTGTTGGAATATGAGTTGTGGTAAGGTGTGTATAAGTTGTCATTTATAAGTTCTGTGTTAAAGCTTATAATACTGCAACACCAATTAAAATATGTCAAACAAAATTATTTATTATAGAGAAAGTTTTTAATTTGAAATGTCTAAGTTGGACCCATTGTTGGATGTCTTTGCCATAAGGCAACATATCATAAAGTACCTTAAAAAAAGATTTTTTTCCAAACTTTTTTTTTACAGCACTTCAAGTTAAGCCATTTTAAGAAAAACAGTCAAATATTTTTTTAAATAGATATATCATAATGCGTGCGGTAGAGGGTTAAATATGAAACAGCCATTTGGTTCTTGTTACAACCAGTAAAAAGATTAAAAAGTCAGTAATTAGATTTTTTGGTAGTGGTGGAAAATAGTGAAAAAATAGTGTTCATATCGTTCAGCACTTGAGTTAAACATATTCTGTACAATAAAATAAAAATGATTAAAGCAATTAAGTTGTTTTAATTGTGTTCTGTATAATTTTATGTAAACAATTATACATTCTTGATGATTATACTACATCAAGTCTAAAAATGACTAGACCTAAATCATGCAAATTATTATTTTTGCTAATTAAATGCTATTAAAATATATATTAGAACATTTCTTATTAAAATTATATACCATTATAACACAAATTCAATTTTTAATGCGTCAGAAAATGTGGGAAATTTCATGCAATAAAATAGAAGTCAAAGAAACGTTACCTTTTTTAAATTTAATCTTTGCTGAACTTATTTTTTATTATTATTTTTTTAATTAAGCAAGTGTTACCAGATCCTCTTTTGAAATCAAATGTTTTTTCATATAGAATTTTGAATATGATTACATTTTCTTATTAAAGGAAACGTATTATGCAAAAATCACTTTTATAAGGGGTTTAATTTTTTTATAATCACACTTGATAAAAACAGTCTGCAGAAACACTATGATTGACATTCTCTCTTTGTACATGTCATCATAGGGGGAAAGCCTCGACCATAGGTGACAATCTCTCCCTCATTAGCATAGGACATTAGTTTTGTTTTTAAGTCTGCCACTATGCTGACACACGGGCATTTGTAGTGGAGCCCTGCACGGGCCTTAAATCTAAGCCCTAGCCCAGTCCAGGCCCGAGCCGCACAGGCTATAGCCTGGCCCTTGTCTGCCAGCTCATCAAAATTTTTTTGTCCGAGTCCGACCTGAAGCCCGTTTTTTTTCCGACAGACAGCTTATACTGTTACATTCATTAAAATAGAACAGATTTGTATTTAATATAAAGTGTTTTCTTTTTTTTTTAGGTAAGATTTAGTTTAAGTGACATCGATATTTAAGCGGTATGTTGTCCACAGTAAGTTTACTCAATTTAACCCAGTGGCACCTGCAGCCGTTTACATCTTGTGAAAAAAAGGACAGAATAGGTTCCCTTACAAAAATGAAAAGTACAGTACTGTACAAATAAAAAAGACAAATTCAGAGAGTTACCCTGTTTGTGTTAACCAGTCTCATTATTGTATGCTGTTGTTTGTTGTCTTGTTTAGGTGACCTGTACGGAGCTTTGGGCTCTCCGGTGAGAGTGTGTCGAACGGTGGTCGTGGGCCGCAGAAGGGAGCTGGTACAGAGGGTCTTGTATATTCTCTCCTACTTCATTCGCTGCTCGGACCTGCAGGAACATGTGCAACCACAAGGACAAAAGGACAATCCAGCCAATCCCTGCACCTCTCCAACCACTGACCCCAACCCTGCCAGTGAGAGAATCTGCGAAAAAACATTTCCCCCTCCACCAGACACAATAAAGCCCATTCCAGGCACCTTTATGGAGCAAAATGACGAGACTGTTTCAGCAGATACACACTCAACCAATACACCCACTGGTCTAGAAGCGAGCATGGTCAGGCCTGAATGTACTGAAATGGGACCGGAATGTTTTGGAGAACACGTCGACTCTGTTGGAGGTGGATTAGAGCATATTTTGGCAAATCAGAGTCCTCTTCCACAAAGGGTGCAGTTTCACATTGGCAGCCCCAGAGAGGTGGAGAATGTGGGACAGGCTGGGGGTTTGATGTGTGGAGGGCAAGGGTTGGACAGGAAGTTGCATCAAAGGCTTTTGACGGACATAAGGAGGAACGAAAGTTCGGATAGTGCTCTAGGTGACAGTGATGATGAGGAAACATCATCGAGAGAAATGTACATGGCCGCTGAACAAACAGAGTACGAGTTACCACTACCAAGGTAAGCTAAACTCATTTTATTATGAACCCTCTCTTAATATAAACACGTATTTGCCATCTCCAAAAACAGCATTGAACTTGAAACATGGTTTCCACAAATATATGTTGTCAAACAAACAAATGCATTTGAAACCTGACTGTGCACATCTACAGGACAGCGCTGCCTATTTGGTGTTCAGAAACCTAGATATGATCAGGAAATAGATTGTTTAATAATACCAGAAAAACTAATAATTCATCTGTGCATATGTACACTCACCAGCCACTTTATTAGGTACACCTGTCAAACTGCTCGTTAACGCAAATTTCTAATCAGCCAATGACATGGCAGCAACTCAATACATTTTGGCATGTAGACATAGTCGAGACAATCCGCTGCAGTTCAACCGAGCATCAGAATAATGGGAAGAAAGGTGATTTAAGTGACTTTGAATGCGGCATTGGTTATTGGTGCTAGCTGGTCTGAGTATTTCAGAAACTGCTGATCTACTGGGTCTTTCACGCACAACCATCTCTAGGGTTTACAGAGGATGGTTTGAAAATGCCAGAGGTCAGAGGAGAATGGCCAGACTGGTTCCAGCTGATAGAAAGACAACCGTAACTCAAACCACTCATTACAACAAAGATATGCAGAAGAGCATCTCTGAATGCAGAACACATGGAACCTTTGAGCCGGATGGGCTACAGCAGGAGAAAACCACACCGGTCTTCACTGTACACAAATGGCCTCCACAGTCACCAGATCTCATTCAAATAAAGTACCTTTGGGATTTGGTGGAAGGAGATATTTACATTATGGATGACAAATCTGCAGGAACTGCGTAATGCTTTCATGTCAATATAGACCATCTTTGAGGAATATTCCCAGTACCTTGTTGAATCTATCCCACAAAGTATTAAGGCAAATGGGGGTCCAACACGGTAGTAAGGTGCACCTAAAGAAGTGGCTGGTGAGTGTACATCTAAAGGGGTCCTCAATGTCAAATGTTCAAATCTCAATTTTTGTCAATGTCAAAGTTCTGGAAAAACTTGTTTTTAATAAACACACACATACATAAATCCCCAATTTAAAAGAATGAAGTGCCTTTTGCATTTAGAAAAACAATAATAAGTGGAAAATGGCAAAATGACAATGTCAGCTGTTCTTATTAGCAAAATATGGAAAAAAAGGAGAAAATAATTTTCACAAAATTAATTTAAAAATAAGTCAAATTGATAATTTTTCCACAGTGAAAAAGTTTTAATAAGATTTGTGGTTATTTAGTCTTTATAGTCTTCATTTAGTCATTGTCATAATGGTAAAAACTAATGAATAAACAAACTATGGTGATGGTTTTGCCTGTGTATGTGTCTCTTTACAAACGGATTAACCGACATAGTTTGAATCTAAATGCACTTCATAACATCAGTTGTGTTTGAAATAATTTATTTTTTGTTACCACACGTGATTTCACATTCCAGAATGAGGATGAAATCCATTATATAGTATTCTATAAAGTAATGAAGGCTCTGTTGATGAGTGTTGCATGACTCTTTTACTTCAGCTACAGGGGTAGATGATTTCTTCAGTAATGCAGATGTGGAATTTATTTTGGAAAGGCACCCTCTAGTGTCCACCTGTATCAACGACACAGAGGTTATATTAAGTGTGTGCTCGCGTTAAAAAAAATAGGAAAAATACCTTTCTCTAAAGATACAGGAGTTTCTCTCATTAGGTATATACAAGTTATATCAGAAATATTGTGAAAGAGATTTATCTCAATATTAGCATGTAGCACAATATTAGCATATAGAATCACCATCACAAAGCAAATCCTTCAAATAATTTGTTTTTAAGCCATGTCTGCTTTTCGAATCCAAACTGTTTCCAAACAATGTAGTTTTTTTCTACTGATTTTGACCAAAGTTTTTTTTTTTTGGCTGCTTTTTTTTGTCATCTTCACTCGTGCTGATTTTTACAGTAGGCTATAGGTTGATAAAGTTCAGGTGTCAGGAGGGGGTAAAAGGGTGCGACATTCAAAACACATATAAAAACATTCAGAAAAAGTATTAAAACACAGAATGCGACTAAATAAGTGTTTCCTTTTAATTACATTACAATCAAATTTTCCTTATTTTAATCTTGCAGTCCTCAACAGTTTTAAATTTTGATCCTTCATAGTCTTCAAAGCCAGTACACCTCTTTTTCAGTAAAGGTCGCAGTAACCGTGTCTGTTTATTTGTCTAGTTCTCAGGTGGAGAGTCGAGCCAGTGTCAATCATTTTGGCCGTTCTCTGCTGGGCGGCTACTGTCCTCAGTACATGCCCGACTTTGCCCTGCATGGCATCAGCTCAGATCTCAGGCTCAAACAGTGCCTCATGGCTGACCTGGAACACACTGTTCTTGTAAGTGCAATCACATTTCTTTATTGCAGAATACAGTAAACGATTCATCAATTTTGTGTGACAAAATCAATATAATGAGGAAAAAAATCTAGTTTTTGTGTTTTACATATTGGTTATTCTGTATTGGAGATTTTATTGAGGGAAAATCTCATCATATTTTATGTAATAATTCTTTCCAAACGTAAGTTGCTTCTTTTTTTACACACACACACACACACACACACACACACACACACACACACACACACACACACACACACACACACACACACACACACACACACAGTCACAGTCACACACACACACACACACACATAAACAATTGTTATTGAATTAGGAAAATGACTATCCAGTGCTTTTGTAAATCAAGTAAAAGAAATATTGTCAAAAGTAAAGTCATGCAAGCTGGAAAAATAGACTACTATTAATAATATAATAAAATATTATCGTTAATAGACTATTATGATATTATGAAATATTATACTGTTATGGTCTTCATGTTGTCATCTACGACAACGAGCAATAAAGTATTAAAATAATAAAAATATATCCATTTAAATAAAGAAAAAAATATAACTTTGGAAACCAAATGTACCCATATAAAATCAAATCAAATTGTTTATTGATTAGAATATGTAGATTGTTTAGAGTTATTAGAGTTTATAGATTTTTTTCCCACAAAATATGTGGGAAACACGTAACAGTGTATTTGTTTGTGTGGGCTTTTTGAATTCAGTACATCATGAAAACGTGTGTGTTTGTGCAGCATCCAGCACTGGATGAACCGGTGGCCGAGGCTCTTTGTATTGTGGCAGATACGGATCGACTGAGTGTTCAGGTGGTGACGAGTCAGAGGCGAATGTGTGAAGGCGGACGGTTGGGCAGAGACGTGATGGTGTCCAACCTCATACACACACTCATCACATCAGTTCTGCAGCTGTATGCACTCAACATCGCTGCTGATTTTGTAAGTCTCTTTAACGCATTTACAAGCGTATTTACAATTCAGTCATATTCAGTAAATGTTTGCAGTATGATTTTTATTTTATTTTTTAATCCTTTTTTAATAAATGAATAAATGAGCTATCTTATTGTAATATTTATAAAAACTGACCCATATAGAGATATTTTTCCTTCAATAACTTTGTTTTTTAACTATAGGGTATTCCAACTATATTTTAATGATCTTCATAACATAGGAAAGAAATTAGAATATTTATCATATAGTAATGTTAAAAAATTATCTAATTCATGGATTCATATGTTTGTGGTTTTTACTTAAATATTTGTTAATGAAATATTTTTGTAATGAAAATAGCTGTGTTGCTGACATGGCATTAATCATGTTTTTTGAAAGTAATAGATCGCTTTGTAAGCGTTTATTATTCACACTTGTTGGGTCTCCTCGTACAGTTTGATAGAGCACTTGGACCCGGAAGCCACTTCGTGTGACGTCACACTTAACAAGCAAATTAGGGCTAAAATATACAAATAACAAGAAATTGTAAGATCACCCTGCTGAAAAATCCAACTTTAACCAGTCTAGGCTGTTTGGCTGGTTTTAGCTGGTCGACCAACCTGATTTTAGAGGGGTTTTGGGCACTTCCAGGGTGGTTTCCAGTCGTTTCCAGCCTGGTCTTAGCGTGTCAGGCTAGGATATAACCAGCTTGACCAGCCTAGCCAAGCTGGGAGTCCGACCAAATCCAGCTGTATCCAGCTTAAACCAGGCTGGTCAAGTTGGTTTTAGCTGGATTTGGCTGGTCATTTTCCAGCCTGACCAGCTAAGACCAGGCAGGAAATGGCTGGAAACCAGCCTGGAAATGGCTAAAACCCCTCTAAAACCAGGCTGGTTGACCAGCTTAAAACCAGCCAACCAGCCAAGGCTGGATTTTTCAGCCGGGCAGGTCATTAAAATAAACAAAAATGTCACCTCTCAGATCTCCAACAACACTGCTGACTCCAAAAAGGAAGCAGTTGGGTTTTCTATATGCATGTGTTCTCTGAACTAGCAGTGTGTTTTTTTGTTTGCATGTTTTGTTAGAATTTACGTGAGCGTGTGTTATCAACATAATTAATTTTACAGTCTTACTGTAAATTTTTTTTTTCTTAACTTGCAGCAGGTTTTAGCTCAGCACATAACAAATAATGTTGATATTTGAACTTTTTTCTGTGTAAATCATTTCAGTGTGTGATGCATTTGGAGGACCGCTTACAGGAGGTGTACTTTAAGAGTCGGTCCTTAGCAGAATATCTGAGAGGACAAACCAGGGTCCATGTAAAAGAGCTGGGGCTTGCACTGGGGTAAGACTACAATTACTGTAACTTATTGTTTCTGATCCTACACTTAAAGGGTTAGTACACGCAAAAAAAGAAAAAGTGCCTCATCATTTACTCTTCCTCAAGTGGTTGTAAATGTTTGAGTTTCTTTATTCTGTCAAACATAAAAGAATGCTATTTGCTGGGTCCTATCAACTTCTAGAATCAGAAAACCAAATATTATGGAAGTCAATGGGTGCCAGCTTTATTTAAAAAAAATCTTCAATCGTGTTCAACCAAAAAGAAAGAAACTCAAACAGGGTTTGAACAAGTGAAGAGTAAATAACAGAATTTTCATTTTGTGTGAACCACCCCTTTAAGTCCCTGTTTTCACTTGGTCTATGGTATTAACATGCATTTTCAGTGATCCATTAACAAGTATTGCACTACACTAAGCAGTTGACTGTGTTTATCTATTATATATGTTTTAAATGCATATTTTCTGATCACTTGTGTTTGGATTTTGAAGTAAATGGAAAAATATATAATGGCTGGAAACTATGATATTTTATTTTTTCCTCCACTGGAATTACAAATATTTTGACATTTTATTTATGTGAAATCCAACTATGAACTTATATTGTATTTCCATATATTTTCATGTACCTATTAATTTTTATATGGGAACCTAACATTAATATCTTGTTTTGTTGCGATTTCCTTCAGCACATGCCTTAATGAATGTTTGCTCAATAGGCTGAAAGTAGATGGTCTTTTTAGTCTGTTTAAATGCATTTGATCACACAAGTATCTCAGCAGTTTGTTGAAATGCAAAGTGGTCAAATGTGGACAACAGTAAAGTGTTTCATACCCTGTTTACATTATTATTTATTATTTACATTATTAATAACTGTTTACGTTTGTTATTTTATTATTGTCCACTTTTGATTGGATTGATGGAACCTTAAAGGCACAGTTCACCCACTTATTTACTCACCTGTCACAAACCCTTTTGAATTTCTTTCCTCTGTAGAACACAAAAGAAGATATTTTGAAGAATGCTGGACTTCCATACTATTTGTTTTCCCTGGATGTCTGTGGTTACCAGTTTCCAACATTCTTCAAAATATCTTCTTTTGTGTTCAGCGAAGAAAATCTTAACTGTTTGGAACTGCTTTAGGGTGAGTAAATGGTGAGTACATTTTTATTTTTGCGTGAACTATCCCTTTAACACCATGTGTGAAATGATATTTATGGTATTCTAAATGCAAGAAGTGTCAATATAAAACTGATTCTCTTAAAATTTGTCCTTTATTTTTGTCTTTCCAGGATTGAGTCTAGTGACATTCCATTGCTTGCAGCAGTGGCCAGCACACATTCACCTTACGTGGCCCAGATCCTTCTTTAAATGGACCAAACAAGACTTAATTTTAAGGACCAATCAGAATGTGTTCCTGTTCTGCATGGACCAGCAAGGATCTGATCCCTATCAGATGACCACACCAATCACAATGCAATGCTCGACAACCAATCAGAGCTCATGTTCAGCCTTAATCTACCAATCAGAATGCCTCGTATGTCCAGCTGACAGTCTTTTGTGTGTGTGTGTTTATGTGTGAATCTATAGAGTGAATCCTGCACCACATTAGGACATTTGTTAATGCTTGTTTTAAATTTGACCTCATGTTTTATTTGAAAGGGAAGACTAGAGACAGCGAATATTATAGATTGAAAAATAAATTTTATTTAAATGCACAATAGTTTAGTTCTAGAAAGAGCATGAGCTCTTCCTAGAAGAGCGTGTTTACACCAGGAGCCACATTTTGTAGCATTTGTGAGACTTGGCTCCTCTCAGAAGAAATTATTCAGTCAAAATTTGGTTTTAAAAATGCACTCCCCCTCATGTTGTACCAAGTCTGCAGGATTTTCCTCTTTTTGAACGATATCCTGGACACTCTTGTCTATATAATAAAAGCGAAGTATTTTTAAAGTCAAGGGGCTCTATTTTATCGATCTTGGCGCAAAGTCCAAAGCGCAGGGCGCAAAAGCATTAAGGGCGTGTCTGAATTTACTTTTGCTATATTAAGCACGGAAAAACCCACTTTGCGCAGTGGCGCATGGTCTAACAGGGTTGAGCTTATTCTCTTAATGAGTTATAGGTGTGTTTTGAGAATAAACCAATCAGTCTCATCTCCCATTCCCTTTAAGAGGCAGCTGTGTTGCGCCCATAGCGCATTTGCTATTTACATGATGGACTTTGTAAGTGGAAAAACTGAACGCTTCACTAGGGAGAAAACAGTTGAACAGACCATTGGTAGCGCGAGAATGAGAGATGAGCCTCCTCATTCTTTACTTTCACTTTCACTCTCTTTCACTTTCACTATTTGTTTCAAAACTATTTATAAATTTAGTTCTAATTTCCAGCAAACAAATAAATGTGCAATAATAACGAAGTGTGTTCAAAAAACTGAGTTATTTACAAATACACATGCTATGCCTGATATGGTCTAAAACCTGACAAGTGGACAAGTCTAAGCTTGTTTTTAATAAAACAAATATAAATATGGATATAATAAATAATACTGCTTATAATGATAACATTATACAAAAGCAAGTTGTCATGAATACACTGAAAAAGCCCCCCCGAGATGAAGAAGGCATGGAGACGGTGGTTTTTATATTTATGTAGAAAATAATCATGTTTGTAATTTTCTATTCCTTTAATTCTTTTTTCATTTGTAAAGATATTTGCGTATTACTGTACATCCTGTGTGTATTAAGCAATGTGTAAGTGAGGCGCACAACTGACGCGCTTTGTGCTGGACTTTAGACCTCCTCTTAGCTGGTCTATTGAGCGGTCTTTTTTAGATCCTTAAAATAGCAACGCACCAGCAATTCGCCTTAACACACCTCCTTTTTAAGATCAGATCGCCTATGGCTGCACATTTGAGCGCAAATGCATTTGCTATTTAAACAGCGTGGTGCAACACTTCAAAACGACACTTGCATCAAGCTGAAACTAGCAAACAACAATTGCGTCATGCCTTGCACCGCGTTGCGCCGGGTGTATGATAGGATCTTCTAAATGTCAGTGAACTTTTGTTTTTGTTTTGGTATCTAAAAAAAATCCCATTGATTTGGAACAACATGAGATTGAATATGAATCATTTTAATGTTTGACAGAAATAATTTAACAGAAATTCCATCCGTCCAACTGGCACAAGCATGGCATAGCTCTGAAATCTAAACTACTTTATTGGAATGTTATTTATGTAAAGCATCAATTTGGTCCTGAAAGAAAGATTTCACAATGTCAATATTTGGAATTTGATTGAATCAATCAATTTTCATTGTGTCTAGCCCAGTGTAATCTTAAGGTATTTTTAAATCCCTAATTTAAAGATTATTTAATTATTTTAAGGCATTATTTCTGAATTTGTGTGTGTGTGTGTGTGTGTGTGCGTGTTGTATGGAATGACAGTGTGTGCTTCAATCTCAGAAAGATGAGAGAATGTTTACATAATTGAAGGAGAGGTATATTAAACTGTGTTACTGTTGATTACTGGACAGTCCACAGATTGTGGATTGCAGTATTAATCTGGTGCTACTGTTTTATTAAAGGCTTACAAAAGCACATGCTCACTTTTACGGCCTGTCCTTGCGAATGCTTTATATTTCAGTGGTCTACGCCATTATAAGTCAAACGTCACAGCAATAGAACCCCAAGTTTGTGACAAGTTTTTGTTTATTGTTCCACCTTAAACACCTAGAGAAAGATGATTATTTTTGATATTTTTTACAGAATACTCTACCTCAAGTGAGAGATCTGAAAGTGGCCTGATGAAGTGAGTTAATGGGATTGATCAGTTTGTGTCACACATCAAGAATGCAGCGTGCTGATGGCGTCAGAGCATTTTAGTTTAAAACAAGCATCTTATACAGGTGTAAACGTCCCTAGTGAATTTCTGTACTGAAAATAAATGTAAAGGTGTCTCTTTTTTTTACAAACATATATAATGTTTTGTTGAGGTTGGAATTTTGAACACTAAAGTTCTGCCACTTTTAGTAGTCTCTTTTGAGGCTAACAGATGTAATCTTTTGGTCTGTTCTGTGCATGGTGTTTACACTTTAGGTTGAATGCGGTTGAGTATTTTGTCTGTGACAATAGGATGTTGATAAGATCTAAACTAGTGATGAATAAACAAATTTCCAGGAACTCTGCTGTTTTGTTACATGTCTTTATTCTCTGTTAAGTTTGTGATCAATTATATATAATTTCAAGTCAGGAAGTAAACTTCTAAACTCTGAACTATAATCATATTGTTTTCGAGGCGTAATGAAGTAGGGGAAAGCAGGGTAAGTTGTCACACTTTTCATACTTTCTACCTTTTACTGAGCACCATACGTCACAATGTAATAAATGACATACCAAATGAAAGTAGGAAGTCTCGGGCACATTTTCATACCTTATCGGATTAAGGAGCTGTAGACTATTGAATGGAGAAGGTGCACTTGTGACAATCTGTCCCATCGGCAGGTAAGTTGTCAAACTAGATTATCTGAAAATAAGAACACAACTACCTAATAGTGATTATTGATTCTTAATTGTTAAATAAAATTTTAAAAACTTGACAAAAAAAAAAATCATGCCAAGAGAATTTGAAAATATATATATTTCTATCAATACACGTTCAAATCAAAACATATTAACTGACAAGACAACTTCACTTTGAATATTAAACTCAAATGTTCTCTGATCGCGCATAGATCTATGATAACTGAATGGAATGCTGCAGATAATTTGCATAACATCCGTCTAGCCTCCGAACAAATTGATGCCTTGTGTCTGATTAAGGGCAGAGTTGGTGCTGTGACCTGGCACGACAGAGTTCTGATTCTAAATATAGAGTGATCTGTGATGTAGGATTGTGCAAGGATGCAGGATGGTTTCTAGAAATACATTTCTGTGATAAAGTTGAATGCAGCCACCCTAAAGTCAGCCTGAATGTTTAGGGGGGTTGCAGCCAGAGGATATGCAATTGCCACAAGCCCAGGAACTTCCTTCCCTAATTACTGCCTTTCCTTTCTTAATTCACATGTGACAACTTGCCCCAAACTGACATTTGTACTAATGTTGGCGAAATTTCAGGGTTAGTGCAACATAGCAAACATATCAAAAGACACATTACTGTCATCTATTTTGTGCAAAATAATAATTTTCCACATCTTTAGCTAACAATGTTGTACTAAATGAAATTTAAACTGATTTGTTTTTACTTTTTAGGCCAAAATAAAAATAAGGAAAGTGTGCTAACCACAGTTTAGAGCAATCTTGAACACATGTGAACAAGAGGTTGACTATAGAGGAGTCACACAAAGTGACTCTTTGATTTTTAAGATGGCACCACTATTGGTGGAGTTATGAACAGTGTGACAAAACCCCACTCTCCCCAACAGTTATTTTTATACACTATTTAGAAATGTAGGGTGAATTTGGGTAATCTTGGACATTGGGTAATCTGGGAAGCTTCTGTGTGTTTTTCTGTTCTGACAAAATTCAGGCAACAGGACTTTTATTATAAATTTAGCATGGACTTCATGTGAGTGAAATCACATGACTTCATTGGGGGGTTCCATACAGGGTGGCAGGGCACTTGTCAATCAGGAAGCTCTCATCAAAATTGGATGACAAGGTCAGTGACATATGATTCTGGCTAGATTAATGTTAAGGACATAAACCTGTCATAAATAAGACAATATTCCCAATTGTTGTTAAATTATGTTTGTGATCTATTCAAGTAACAAAATATGTATTAAAGTGTTGAAAATGTTGTTGTTTTTTTTTTTAGATTTTTTTTCTTTCAAACATTTTTTGTTTTCCCACATTATTAAATATGATTGATAATGTGGGACAGCATGGTTTGGGTAATCTGGGACAGCCTTCGAATGAGAGAAATATGCATTTAGAGACAATAAGTTTAATGACTACAAAGATGGAATGTACAATGTTCTGTACACAAACTCACACAAACACAAACCCCCACACACACTTTTCAAAAATTGGTAAAATTGTGTTTGGCATGCAAAAATATGGAAAATATGTACTTTTTCAGCCCAAATACATAATATCCCAGATTACGAAGTGACCTGTCCCAGATTATCAAATTCAGGCAGAATTTTTGTTTTTGACACCAAAATACTAATAGTTGTGGCATGACTCGATTCAGTATGATATTATGTTTTCTTAGGTGGTTAGAAAAAATCTTAGGGATTTCAGAAAAGGCTGATATGTGGTTATAATTAGTTAGATAGACATATAGAGCGCTGAAGTCAGAATTGCAAAAAGTGTCCCAGATTACCCGAATTCACACTATATGTAAGTGCATTTGACCTTTAAGTTACAACCTTTGTGCACAACAATTACAGCATTTCACGCACATTGTTAGTCTTCATGTTAACAAGTAATCTTTGCAATACACTGAATAAAAGATTTAATTTGTTTTGGTAATTTTTGGTGCTGGGGCCTGGCAAGAAGTAACCATTTATTTCTTTTGAGGTGGATATTAACCATGCTTTGCTAGCAACATTACAGTCATCAATGTCAAACAATCCTCCAGAAATCATTCTAATATGATGATTTTATGTTCAACGAACTTTTTTTGTTGTGCGCAGCGGGTAGCACGTTTGCCTCACAGCAAGAAGGTCGCTGGTTCGCTGGTTCGCTCCTCGGCTCAGTTGGCGTTTCTGTGTGGAGTTTCCCTGCGTTCGCGTGGGTTTCCTCCGGGTGCTCCGGTTTCCCCAGTCCAAAGACATGCAGCACAGGTGAAATGGGTAGGCTAAATTGTCCGTAGTGTATGAGTGTGTGTGTGTGTGTGTGTGTGTGTGTGTGTGTTTCCCAGAGATGGGTTGCGGCTGGAAGGGCATCCGCTTTGTAAAAACTTGCTGTGGCGACCCCGGATTAAGAAAGGGACTAAACTGACAAGAAAATGAATGAATGAATGCCCTGGAGCCTACCTTTGAGTCTGTGTTTATGTGATTAATTTAGGAGAAATACATTTTTATTTTAAGCAGCAAGCTAAATGCTGATATTCAAAGAACCTGTATATTTCTCAAGTCAGAATAAAGTTTGTCTAGAAAGTTTGTCTTGTTTTCGTACCGCACAAGCTCCGGTAAAGTAGGTGGCGGTAGTGCACCTCATCGTTATATGTCGACTGTCATTAAAAAAAGAGGAAGAAGAAGAGACTGCAGTAGGGAGCGAGACGCGCCTGGGCAGCTGATTCTGCCTCCCGTGACTGTCTCTATTGTAGTCTACTTCACAGGCCAATACCTCTCATAACTATCATGGGCAGATGTTGTACGGATATCTGGATTATATTGGAGAATAAACCCCGAATTCTGTGAAGACGCATGAAATAAAATAGTAAGTGCCTTTTAGGACTATGTGAGATGTGAGCTAGCCGCTAACAGTGTAGTATTTACCTTCCAGAATAACTAGCGTTACTTCCCTCATTTATTAGAGATTTAAACTATTAAGTTAGCTGCTCTATTATATTTGCTTCCACACTTTGTTTTTATTGTTGGCATGTACAGTGTGTGTTAATAAGCTTACAAAGACAAGGCGTTCTTTTGTCTTATTGAGGTTTGCATGAGGATTTGTGTTTGATAGACTAACGTTAGGGATGCAGTTTGTGAAAAGGATAAATGTTACTCATTTGCTTAATAGTTTATGTTGTAGTAATTTATTATGTTTTCTGTTATTTTGTTTAATTGAAGCTCAGTTATGTGCAGTTAACTTTACCAGAATTCACCATGGTAACCACCAGAGCTTCCTCTGTCCAGTTGTTTTTTAACTACTCTAGTAGCTGAAGTAGTTACAGTACACGAGAGAACCAGATAGATTCTCATTGCACTAATTCATTTTAAATTGTATATAACCACTGCACATATACATTTGTAATTCATGTCCATATCTATCTGCTTACCTCTGATTATGAATAGCAACCTGTACTTTATAACTTATATCCTGCACTTGCTGCTATTACACTCCTGGTTAGACCTAAACTGCATTTCGTTGCTTTGTAAATGTGTAATGACAACAAAGTTGATTCTGATATAATCTAAAATTCATAAATTGAATAATAATTTTGAATTCAGTAATTATTCAAACAAAACAACTAAAAACCACAATTATTATTATTATTACCATTTTATATGTGTATATATGACGTAAAGTACATTTTTATCCAAAGTGATTTAAACAATTCCAGCTTTATGGATGTGACATTTGCAGTAAAAACATAAAACAAATTCAAATAGAAAGTAAATGTTGACTGTATATTGAAACATCTGTTTAAATTTCTGAAACAACTAAGCACAGAGTTATGAGATCAGAAAAAGATCAATCTGTAAGCTGGTGTGTATGTGTGTGTGTGTGTGTGTGTGTGTGTATATATATATATATATATATATATATATATATATGGTTAATAAAGACAGAAAAGTAATGCAAACAAAACAAACAAAAAGACAAAAGACAGAAAAAAGATTTTAAAACCATCATTACATCAGTTGCTCCAGTATTATTTGTGGGTCAACAGTGATACACGTATATATTTAGGCCAGTGGACAGACACAGGGATTATAAGGATCTTGCACATGATGACAGGGTTATACCTTAAAAATGTTATCCTTGGCATTTGATAGATAATTAAAAAGGGTTTCCAGGTGGCTTCGAAGCCAGTAAGGTTATCAGATACATAAAAAAAAAAAAAATTTAAATAAGGAATATAAATATGTGTGTGAGTTTACAGTATACAACATATTTTGTAGAAATTCTGTGAACTAAGCTGCACAACTCAAAAAAAACAATGCTAATCAAAAGGATAAGAGTCGGCTCTCTATAGAGCAAAAATCATTAATTTTATTTTATTTTACATTTTTTAATTTTTGAGGAAAAAGCTTGATTATTGACGTGACACTTCACCATGTGACATGTGAAATTGCAGCTTGTGTGAGTTTGGTAAATCAAATTTAATTGTTTGAGTATTTTTACAGTACTTTCAAATATGGCTGCACGATTTGGAGAAAAAAATCTAATTGTGATTTATCTGATCAAGATTGCGATTGCAATTTAAAATGCGATTTACTGTAATTTCATAAAAAAGCTGCAGGTTTGATGTGGTGGTTTTAATAGCACCAAAGAAAGACTAAGCATAATTACAAAGTACGCTATGCTACTGTTTATTTAAAACCACTTTTTCCAATAAATATGTCAGTTGTCATGTTAAATTAAGAAAATAACAATAAATTGTGTCTAAAATCTTAATTATTTATATATATATATATATATATATATATATATATATATATATATATAACCTTTACATTTAGATTGTGTTACATTTTTCATATTGATTTAATGACATTCTATGCTTTCCATGCACAATTATAGATTTTACTTCACAGCACAAGATTTCTCATATTTGAATGCATAGTTTCTAAATGGATTAGATTTAGATTTTGCAATTTTGTCCTCTCACAGATTGGGTCAGATTAAGGTCTGACCATGTAATCCAATCATACGCTTGATTTGGATCAAACCTCCCTTTGGGCTATTCAAAACTTTGAACTCAGATTGGGATCTATTTGAGACCATCAGAAGGGTGGATTCAGTTGTGATTTTTAACCAAATAAGCAAGTTTTATTTTTTAAGTGAATGATTACAAACTTAATGGTTACTGATGATATATAAATTTCTTCATATTTGAAGCCCATATGAAGCGTGTCACATCTAATAAGATATTGTAAACAACAAAACAAAATCAAAGCAGGATTGTATTAGAACAAATAAAAATGTAAAATGTATGTTCTTTGCATTTATATTTACTAAATGCATTTATATTTATATATTATTATATACAATTTTGTCTTTTACAACAAGCAATCAGATATATGAACTGTACTTTTATTTTACCCGCTCCAAGAAAACACTCTTTGAACGTATCAAACTAAACTCAAATGCATGCACAAAACAACTCGAGCATTTATAGCAAATAAATAAATTTAAATAGTATCCTGCTTGCTTTTTGAACGTTGTCAAGTGAGTTCTTAAACACTTGTGATCGGTCATTGTGTTCCCGCACTCAACACAAGGGCCATAATAATAATCAAATAAATTGCATCTTTTGCAATTAGAAAATGGCACCTTTTCAAATCTCGATTTCAGTTTAAAATTGATTAATCATGCAGCCCTACTTTGAAATACAAGTCTAAGCAAACAACGTAGAAAGGATTTCACTCTTTTAATGAAAACTTAAATTTTTTATGGGAAGGTTGACATTTATGAATTGCTTATATACAAAAATGAAACAAAGCATTTTGTCAAAAACTGAACAATAGCTGACGCAATAATGCGCAATGGTAGGTTTTTTTTAGACACCTAAATAAGGAAACAAGCTGGAAAAGAGAAGAAGCATTGATATGTATGACAAATAAGCAAAAACTAACAAGACTGTCTCTACTTTTTTATTAGCTCAGAACATTTGCCACTGCAAAGTTTACCCATACATTTTAAAGTTTGATTTGCATGTTTTCAAGGCATGTCAAGAAATTATGTTTGTAGCTTTAAGATTACTTGTGTTTAATTATTTATGCAATGAGGGGTTGTTTTAGATATATTTCTGTACTGTTTGACGCTCAAGAGCCCAGTTTTTCAAAAGTAATCCAGTGGGATTTTACATCACAGATTGGGTCAAATCTTGGAAATGGGTTTTTCAGAAGTAACAGAGGGATTTTGAATTAAGGTCAGACCATGTAATCCAATCATACAATTGATCTGGATCAAACCTGCCTTTTTGGATTATTCAAAACTTTCAACTCAGATTGGGATCTATTTGACCCAAAAAAACAGGATTATCCTGATCCCATCAGAAGGGTGGATTCAGTTGTGATTTTTTTATTTATTTTTTTTTACCAAATGAACCACATAGAATAAACAAGTTTTATTTTTTTAAGTGAATGATCACAAGCTTAATGGTTACTGATGATGTATAGATTCCTTCATATTTGAAGCCTATGAATCATGTAACATCTAATGAGATATGGTAAACAACAACAACTAAACTATATCAAAGCAGTATAGTATTAGAACAAACAAAAATATAAAAGGTTTGTTGTTTGCAGTGTTTCTCTTTCTTACCATTAAAAAAACTTTAGCTATGTTTCTATCCAAATATTCTAATGAACTTTATGCACAAAACTGGAATATTGCATATAAGATGTGCAAATAAAGCAGTGTTTCCAAGTAGACAAAGTGAGCAAAATCATTACTTCCTGATTAACTGGTGCCAAATATTAGCAGTAAAAATGGAATTTGCCGCGGTAGGATAAGCTCTGTGAATTTTTTTAAAGTGAATAAATGACTTGCACCTTAAAAGATGATGCCGACACGCAATGACCACATGGTGGCATTTGAAGGCGTCAGATGCGGAGCACAGATGCTCTTCACAGTTCTGGAGGTAATTACTAATGTAATGATGACACTAATACTGAAATGGTTAAGGTGTTTTAAAATGACTAAAACAACATTTCAGATGTTTTACAGTGTGCTAAGCCTGCTGGTTTGTCCATTCATGTGCATTTTGATCACATGATCTCCTATAACAAAATCACATGACTTATTTTTAATGTGCATACTGGAATTTGTTCTGTAAAAGTGTTTGTTCCATAGTAGTTTATGCACATCTTTTCTATTGAATAAATGTTTGTCCTACTCGGTTATGCAAATATATTTTTTTATGCGCATTTTCAAAATGTATGTGCATCTCGGTGTTTCCATCTATGGTTTTTTTTATTTGCAAATCCAAAATGGGCATAAAAATGGGTGGATAGAAACTTAGCTAATGGCTGTTTGTGGCCACTGGTATTTTGCCTATTACCTGTTGTTCTTTGCTAAACCAGGAGGCTACACTGTTGGTTCCATTTAGGCTCTGGTAAACAGTATTTGGTAATCCTAAATTTTGGTATTTGGATCACAGTGATCCAACTCAATTTTCCTTAAAAAAAACAGTCATAAAAGTAAGATATATTAGTTAATCCTGGATAGCAAAACATGGACCCTATTGATTCAGATTAAATTTTTCGAAAAACTGGGCACTGGTGAAACTTATATAATCAAAATATTGCAATTAATTTATCTTCCCGATATCATGCAACTTTAAGGCTACGTTTACACTGCGAAGCTTATATGATTTTTTTTCTCAGATCTGATGTGTTTGCATGGCTGTTTACACTGCTCTTATAAATGTGGCCAATATGTGGTCCTAAACTGACTGGCATGCACAAAAGTACATTACGGAGAGCACAAAATGTCTAATTATGCACATAATGTGTAAACTGTATGAGGTAAGCACGTTGTCAGATCATGCTTGTATGATTATTACCCTTTTCCAGACAACCTTGGTGTTTTCATGAACTGTAAAGGGTTGTTCTGTTACTACTAATGTGTATTTTGGCATTTGAGACCTAAAATAAGTCTCTTTTGATTTACAATACTGATCATTTGCGATTTATGATAACAGCAGTGCGTGGCGCTCTGACCACCAGTGTATAGTGAACTCATCAAATTTAATGAGCAGCCGCAGACTGAACTGTGAAGACAGAGTTGGTTTATCTCTGTTTGCTGTTATTTCATTTTACTTCGTTATAAATAACAGGCATGTGCAGAAGGGGGGTTTGGGTGCTCGAGCACCTGCTCTTTTGTCTCTCTCGGAGAGAAAGTTCCCCGTCCTTTGCACACCGATCCCCTATCCGCAACACCCACGACGCTCTTCGGCTTTGCGATCAACCCATGCCTCAATCATTGACAAGCATCAGTTTTGCCTTCAGAATCTATTTCAACATGAACAACCAGCTTTCTGTGATACAGTAATCGCCATGTGTGCCATTTTACTATTCCGACATAACCGTTCACACTGCGGTCACATTGCAAAACATCAGGGGCCTCATGTATCAACGCTGCGTACACACAAAAACTTTGCGTACGCCAGGTTTCACGCTCAGAATCGCTCACGTTTGGATTTACTAACGATGAACTGAACGTGGGAATGTGCGCAGCTCCACGCCAGCTTTATGGCTGGCATACGCACATTTTTTGTGCGTGTCTGTTTTATTTCCATTGGCGACTCCTAGAGGCAGTTGTGTTAAATTCGGGGGGAAAAAGAAAAAAGAGTTCATCAGACGCTGGTTTCGAACCGAGTTCATGCTCGAATGTGTCAAAACATGTTGACATGCGTCTTACTAGCTTCGCCTCTGAGACTGTTATGGTATTGCAACATTTTACACCTATAAACCACACTATTTATTTTTTAAATTCACTCAGTGTAATGTTCATACCCAAACTGTGTTAACCGCATCAGCTAAACTCTCCCACTCTAATTTTTTTTTTTTTGTTGTTAATTCCGGAGAACAAACTTGCAAATAACACTTTTTTCCGGTCTACCTCCGAAAGCAGCACCTCCAATTCACATTCTGTTCAAAGTTTCTCTTTTTGCTTGGTTTTGCCATTGCTTTTTCGTTGGGTTTTGCCAAAGAAGAGTCATTAGCATATTCATACGGGGGAGGAGGCAGGGAGGGGTTTTGTGCTCGTGCATGTTGCGCTCAGTTTCACGTTTATTCGGATGTACAAAAGAATATGCGTGAGATTCATTTAAAAAGCTGTAAATGTGCGTATGCAGAAAAAAATTCAGATGTATGAAACACTGCGTACGCCGAATCTCACGCATATTCTTTTGTTTTAGTATGATTTCCACGCAAGTCTTCGTACATGAGGCCCCAGGTCAGTGTCTGATTTAATACTACATATGAAAATGGCACAAATCTGAACTGAAAAGATCAGATTCGATGCGGTTTGGGCTGTTCACATGGTCATTACTTGAGTCATATGAGGGGGGAAAAATCAGATTCGGGCCACATTTGGCTGCAGTGTGAACGTAGCCTAATTGTAGTCATACGCCTTTAATGACATCTATTCTATTTGTTCTCAGGTCATGGATTTCCCGGGGCACTTTGAGCAGATTTTCCAGCAGCTGAACTTCCAGCGGCTGCATGGACAGCTGTGTGACTGCGTGATCATGGTTGGCAGCCGTCATTTCAAGGCCCACCGCGCTGTGCTGTCTGCCTGCAGTACGCATTTCCGAGCCCTGTTTACTGCGGCTGAGGGAGATGCCAGCACAAGAATGATCCACCTGGACTCTGAGGTGGTGACCGCTGAAGCGTTTGCTGCTCTCATGGATATGATGTACACATCCACACTGATGCTGGGAGAGAGTAACGTGATGGATGTATTGTTGGCTGCTTCTCATCTGCATCTAAATGCTGTGGTGAAAGCCTGTAAGCACTACCTGACAACGCGCACTTTACCCATGTCTCCACCTGGAGATCGTGGCAGTCAACATCACACTGAGCAACAGCAAGCGGCGGCGGCTGCCAACTCTCATCTTCAGCGATCATTTCTGCTCCAGCAGCTCGGCTTGAGCTTGGTTAGTTCTGCCTTGAGTGGGGCTGAAGATGGGGGAACGGGGACGCAGCGGAGAACGGGTGCGGTGTGCGGAAATGGATTGGGGGATCAGCATGGTTCTCACCCAACACGCCGTTTCTTAAAACGCAAGCAGCCCTTACCCCTGATTACTTCAGAAAGGGGAAGGCCACGGCTTTCCTCACAGGTGGAGGGCATCGTGGGGGAGTCAGGGGGCCGAGATGGAGGAGAGGAGCTTCTGTCTCCAGATTCACACAGTAAAATGGTGGACGAAGTGGTCACTGGCGTTATTCCCATGGATGATGGAGGTTTACTGGAGCAGGATGAATATCGAAGGGGACTGACCCATGAGGACATGCAGCTCCCGAGCCAGTCAGATGGAGGAAGGGGAACAGGAGCAGAAAAAGCATTGCTGCTGCCGCGAAAAGAGGAGTACCCAGATGCAGGTCGTCACCATGATGAGGGGATGAAGATAAAGAATGGAGATGAGGAGGAAGAGCAACAGCACATGCAGGTCGTGGTGAAGAGCGAGCCACTGAGTTCACCCGAGGCGGTGGATGAGACTAGCGATGTTACCTCACAGGCAGAAGGCAGTGATCAGGTAATTGTTTTTAACTCTTAAAATAAAAAAGGAGATGAGAAATACAGTCTTGATACTGAAGGGTCACTGTCCTGCAGAGTTCATTTTCAGACATCTCCAAAAAAAGTTCTTTGGAAGTTTCTAGTGAGTCTGAACATTATTCTTTTTCAGGTTCACGTGTGTTTAGTTAGAAAGGCTGCAGCATGATTTTGTATTGCTAAGTGAAAGTAAACTCTTTTCTGCCATTGTTTTAGACTTTTTTAATTAATTTGCTTATGGTGAAATGACTAGGAATGATAAACAGTCAAGTGTACCTAACTATAATAAAATATCCGTTTGCAACATCAAGCAACATAACAAGCTGATTCTTTGGCAAAAAATTTACGGATCATTAATTCGCTATAATGGAAACGATTTCCCCTCACATTCCAGCAGTAATGGAAAAATAACGAAGGGTCACTGCCAATGCTGTTTGGTTTTTGTGTCGTTTTCTAGTAAAATATTTATATGTGTGTATGTATGTGTATATGTATGTGTGTATATACAGTTGAAGTCAGAATTATTAGCCCCCCTGTTTGTTTTTGTCTCCAATTTCTGTTTAAAGGAGAGATTTTTTTCAACACATTTCTAAACATAATAGTTTTAATAACTCATTTCTAATAACTTATTAATTTGATCTTTGCCATGATGACTGTAAATAATATTTTACAAGATATTTATCAAGACACTTCTATACAGCTTAAAGTGACCTTTTAAGGGTTTAACTAGGTTAATTAGGTTAACTAGGCAGGCTAGAGTAATTAGGCAAGTTATTGTATAATTATGGTTTGTTCAGTAGACAATCGGAAAAAATATAGCCTAAAGGGGATAATTCTGACTTTAACTGTATGTATGTGTGTGTGTGTGTGTGTATATATATATGTATATATATATATATGTATATATATATATATATATATATATATATATATATATATATATATATACATATACATATACATATATATTATATGAAAAACATACTTGTATGTGCAAGTTAATTTTGTAAACTGAAGGCATCTACCCCAGAGGCTTTCAGTGTTGTTACAGTACTGGTATTTTTGTACCAATCTGTACTGAGATTTAAAAAACATTAATTTCCTGCTAACATTGGAGTTTCAAAGCCATGAATATGAGCTGGTCTGACGTATGAATGATCCGCTGATGGATTGCCTGATCTTCGTGGCTTTGAAACTTGCACTTGGTGAACAGCAGTAAAGTGTCGTGAACTGATTAGCTCCACGGCCAATCACAGTCATTTCTCAACAGTGCTCAGATGTTAGTGTTAAATAGAGAATTAAAAAATGTAGGTACTGATCAGTACAGAAATTCCAGCATCGCGACAACACTAATACCTTCCTGCAACCTTGATCAAATGCACCAATCTAGTGCAAGTGCACTACCAAGTGCTCCTTCAGATCCAGGCTTGATCAGGGTTAGAGCTGAACTCTGCAAGAAGGTATATCTCCAGGAACAGGATTGAGCACTCCTGTCCTGATCTACCCAACACCACATGGTAAACTTTACTACCACAACACACACTTTAGTAAGGTGTACTTTCACTTTTGAATTCACATTAATTCATGCGTTTAAACAAATGTAAAAACATTCTTACCACTGGGTACGGGGATAAACATTACAAGAGAGTGACTTTGTATGAATAGGGCACCCATAAACGACCTTGCAAAAAACTTAGTGTGATGTTTCCTCAGGTGGAGCCAGTTGGAGAAAAACTGGAGCTCAGTCCAGAGTGCAGTGAGCGCAGCTACTCTGATCCGCAGCCCAGCTCTGAGCTGCTGATCAAAGGAAACAAGGGATTAGGAGCTGCAGAAGACAGAAGAGGAGAGACGCTATCCTGCAGTGAAGCTCTTGAGTCCTCCTCTGGATTACACATCACCAGTTTCCTCAGCACTAAGGCCTTTATTGGCAGAGGGGTGTCTTCAAACCATGCCAGTAGTGTTGACAGTGTTCCCAACACCACAACTGGAGAATTTCAAGCAGACCACGATTCCGCTCGCTTCTTCCTCCCGAATGATTCCATCAACGCTGCATCTTCCTCTCTGCACCTCCTTTCAGGAGAGACCCAGGTCTGCTCTGACATGCAGCCAGAGTCCCTTCTCATGCGCCCGCTGCATGATGGAATAGCAACTTCCTCCTCATTAGGGACGTCCCGTGGTGGATCGGTAGATCAGCTTGCTCTTGAGTTTCAGCGCAACATTTTGGGATTACAAACATTCCCTCATTCGTCCAGAGGTGGAGGTGGTGGTGGAGGGTGCCAATCATACCGGCGCATCGCTCCTAAAGCTCATCCAGGAGGGGCTTCAATGCTAATGGACGGCCCTCAGCAACATGACGCTGCTTCCTCGTCCTCTTCCTCCACAATGCTACTCAATGGAGTCAACTTTGAGAATTCTGTCCCCATAGTTCAAAACAGTGGCAACTCCAACTTGAACCCTCTTCCCCAGTTGACCAGAGCCTCAGCAGATGTCCTGAGTAAGTGTAAAAAGGCGCTTTCTGAGCACAACGTGTTAGTGGTGGAAGGTGCCAGAAAGTACGCCTGCAAGATCTGCTGTAAGACCTTCCTCACTCTGACGGACTGCAAGAAACACATCCGGGTTCACACCGGCGAGCGTCCGTATGCCTGCCTGAAGTGTGGCAAGCGCTTTAGTCAGTCCAGTCACCTGTACAAGCACTCCAAAACAACCTGCTTACGGTGGCAGAACAGTGATATGTCTAATGCCATGCTCTAATTCAGCCACTCAAAATATGCCACGCACTGGCGACTGGCCACCGGTCAGCTTCTGACTGTTCTTACACTGTCACACCTACTATTGTGGTGGCAGCGGTATCTTTTTTTTGGTTTTACTAGTATAGTATGTTGTTAACATGCTTTCAGTTAACATGCCATTGATGGTACACATAAAAGAGATGGTTCTCCTTAATATGTAGCTTCAAACCTGTATGGCTGACTCAGATTTGTTTGTAATATTTTACATTTAACAAAACAGTTTAATCGTAAAAACACCAACTTTAGTTTCACGCAGAGGTCTGGTCATATTTTGTCCATAAGCCACATTAATATTCAAAGGACAGTTCACCACAGACTGAAAATTCTGTTATCATTTACTCACCACCAAAAGAGATATGAAGAAAGCTGTAAGCTGGAAACCATTGACTTCCACAGTATTTATTTGTCTACTATGGAAGTCAAAGATTACCGGTTTTCAGCATTCTTAAAAAAAGAAAAACTACTTTAAAAAAAGAAACTCATAAAGGTTTGGAACCATGTGAAGGTGAGTACATTTTCATTTTTGGGTGAACCCTCACTTTAATAACTACTTTTAAGTTTGTATATGAACATAAATAAGGGTTGCATACTATCAAGGAGGTGAGGAAGTGAAAACACCTTGCATGTAGATGGTGGATAGTCATTAAGCAGCCTTTCTTTTACTGGTAAAATGGTCCTATTAGGAGATTGGTCTCACACTGAAAAGTCAATTAAGCAAAATTAAGAGGTGACTAAAATATAGGTTGCGTAGAAATTATTTTAAGAATTAAGTTGAAGAAATGATTGTTTAACTGTCCGGGATCTCCAGTGAATCTCCAATTTTTATTTTTCTGAAATGCTGTGTACTTCGAGACTTAGAAGGTATCAGACCTTCCTCTTAAGCCTATAATTCTTAATAAGTGGGCATCATGTTTTAGATTGTTCACCTTTACTAAGTTTGCTTTGCCAAGTTCTTGAAAAACAGTGGCAGTTTCAATACTGTTGGATCCTTCTTGTGGATGTTTAATCATTTTTGTCTTTTCAGTGGGAGTTATATTTTTAGTTTTGAACCATTTTCACTGAATTTGAAGTGAGTTTTTACTTCCAGTCCTTGTTTACAGTGCTGCATCACTCTTAACTGACTATATATAAATTGAATAATGGTTATTAATATTTATTTGATTTGGAATTGAAAAGAATTGTCTTGAGTAAAAAAATAAATGACCGGAATATCAGCTTGAATAATATGTCTGCAGTGTAAGTCACACGGGTTTGGAATAACATGAGAGTAAATGACAGAATTGTCATGTTTTGGTGAATTATTTCTTGTAGTTTCACTGTGAAAAGGTTTTGTTTGAATGGTCATTGAGAGTTCTGCTTCATGTGGGTCAAGAAGTGGTCAGAACTTCAGTAGCTGAATCCTACATCAGGACGATCAGAAGCTTTGCTGTTCATTTCCTCTGTGGAAGTCAGATGTTTGAGGTGTATTGTCAGTTTGAAGTGTTTTAGTTTTTGATGCATCAGAATCATTTCTAGGTGCATGTTTAGTTCTCAACAGTTCAGTGGCTCTTAAAATGACTGAAATGTATTGGGGGAACCCAAAATATTTTTGCAAGCTAACGCAGAAGCATACAATTAGGTTGCAAGTTAAAGTTTTTCTTTTTCACTGTATTTACATCACCCTGTCTAGCACTGTTTTAGCATACAGTAACACAGATGTTAGCATGTTGCTAAGCAAATGTAAATGCAATGTTAGGTAAATAGTGTTCATTTATATATATTTTGGCATTATTATAATTTTATTTACATAATCACCCATGTTAGAGGCATATTGTTCAGCCAAAATGTCAAATTCAGTTTTTTTCAGAAGAATGTTGGACATTGTTAGCCATTGTAGTGACACAAATGACCATTTTGTCACTTGAGGTGTTGTAGGGTTGTTTCTGACGCGTGAGAGCTCAACAAACGAATCATCCTCCAAATACTGCTTATCAGATTTATTTTTTGCACAGACAGTTCTTATGGTTCAATTTCCACTCACAGTCTGATATATAAATGCTCATAAAATCACATTGAATGCCTCTATAAAGCTCTTTCAAACACGGTCAAAAAATGTTGTGCTTCCCTCTAATTACACACCTGTTGTTCTAAGTCTTTGTCTACCTATATACTCCTCCAAACCCCCACTCCACCCAGTGGTCAAAAACAGCATTACAAAACATAATGGCTCTTACACCCCGGCCCCTAATTGTACATGGCAGGTAGACATAACAATTCAACAATGTACATACAAAGAGCCATTAAAGCAACACTATAAACATTGCATTAATCAATTCTGTGTAGGTGTCAAATTTAACAGTCTTTACCATCAGTCCATTATATTTCCATGTTGTCATACAACAGACAAAGTTTTGTCACGGGTCTCTCAAGTACACTGGTTTTAGTTTGTACTCGCACAGAACGAACAAGTCCATTTTTATCTGGAAAAACCTCCAGAATTCGCCCCATTAACCAAGACCCTCGAGGGGCAGACGAGTCCACAATGACAACAATGTCACCAGGAACAAAGTTTCTCCTTTCCTTATTCCATTTCTGCCGATCTTGAAGCAAAGGCAAATATTCATTTGTCCATCTTTTCCAGAATAAGTCACACATATACTGGACCTGTTTCCATCTCCTCTTGCTGTATAATTCAGATTTTTCAAATAATCCAGGTGGTAATACTGGTTTACCTTTCATCTGAAGAAGATGGTTTGGAGTAAGTGGCTCCAAATCATTGGGGTCATCTGACAACTTAGTTATTGGGCGATCATTTAGAATGGCCTCAATTTCACATAGTACAGTATGGAATCCTTCATCATCCAAAATCTGCTGATGTAGGATGGAATTCAAAATTCTTTTGACCAGTCTGATTACACGTTCCCAGATTCCACCATAATGCGAACCTCCTGGAGGATTGAAACTCAACTGGACACCTTTCTGGAGCATTGCCCTTTGAATCTTGTTTTGATTCCATGATCTCAGTGATTCCTTTAATTCCTTTTCTGCGGCAACAAAGTTGGTACCATTATCTGATCTTATTTGAGTTACTTGCCCTCGTCTGCAGATAAATCTTCGAAGAGTGTTAATACATGAATCAGTGTCCAATGAGTAGGCGACTTCCAGATGAACTGCTCGACTTGCCATGCAAGTAAAGATGACTCCGTAACGTTTTACAATGGAGCGTCCTTTTTTAACTTCCACAGGACCAAAATAATCCACCCCAACATTCGAAAATGGAGGCAAATCGGGAAAGAGTCGTTCCTTCGGCAAGTCTGCCATCTTCTGCTCACCCACCTTAACTCCAAAACGTCTACAATGGCCACAACTCGATATAATCCTTCTGGCAGCTGCATTACCCTTAATGATCCAATATCTTTTCCTCAGCTCTGAAAGCATATAATTTCTTCCACTGTGACCTAACTGTTGGTGTATATGACGCAAGATGAGCGTGGCAATATGCTGATCCTTAGCCAGAATGATCGGATGCTTTCTTTCTTCCGGCATAGCAGAATTTCTCAATCGTCCTCCTACTCTCAAAATACCGTCTTGATAGACGGGATCCAATTTATACAGCTTGCTGTCTCGGCTTATTTTTGAAACAGGTGAAACTGACAGAGCATCGATTTCCTTTTTAAACTGTTGCCTTTGACTGAATGCAACAATAGCTACTTCAGCTTCATTCACATCCTGCAAACTTAAATTTGGTGTAACCACAGAACCAGTTAGTTTTCGAAGTTCTTTCTCCGTCTTTTTAGAAGTTACTCCAGAAGAGTCTAAAGAGGCTTGAATTTCCTTTCTCTTTTGACTTTGTTGTTTCAGAACTGTCTTTAATTTCAAGAGCCAAGCAACAGCAACCTTCAACTTTGTCCAGTCTGAGAAATGAGTAATCAGCCTATGAGTAGCATTTGACTGTTCACTTACAAGAGTGCTATTTACACATATGTTCCTCTTGACTTCAGGATCATCTGCTTTAAGAGCAGAATCAAATATTTGTGCTGGCCATTCTTCCACTGGTTTCCACAGATAACTTGGTCCATTGATCCATTCTCTGTTTGTTAACAGCTGATCTGCTTTCAGACCTCTGGAGCAACAGTCTGCTGGATTTTGAGTCGTAGGTATGTATCGCCACTGTAATGGTGTTGTAATTTCTCTTATTGCAGAGATCCTGTTGGCGACAAAGGTAAGAAAACGTTTGTCCTCATTTTTTATGTATTTCAACACGGACGTACTATCTGTCCAGAATACTGAATCAACCAATGGAAACTGCATCTCTGCCCTTAACATTTTGTCCACTCGAGCAGCAAGCACAGCAGCTGTCAATTCAAGACGTGGAATAGTTACTGATTTCAAAGGTGCTACTCTAGCTTTACCGAGTAGGAATGTTACGTGAACATCATGTTTTGTCTCCATCCTAAGGTACGTCACAGTGCCATATCCAAGTGTACTTGCATCAGCAAAATGATGCAACTGAACGTTGGTAAGTTCATCCATTCCTGCTGGTTTTAGACATCTGTCCATCTTGAAATCTGCCATCTTCTCAAGCTCTTTTAACCATAAAGACCACTGCCTTTGGAGATTTGAGGGTAGCAGATCATCCCATCCACATCTTATCCTACATAACTCTTGCAGGAGAATTTTTGCTGTAAGAGTGAATGGAGCCAAAAATCCTAAAGGATCATAGACAGAGCATACCTTTGACAGGACACCCCGCCTGGTGCAAGGATGATCTTTGCTAGTTATTTTAAAATTGAAAGTGTCGGATTCAACACACCACCACAAACCAAGAGCTCTTTCCATTGGCAACTGGTCCTTGTCCAGATCCATCATTTTTATGCCCTGGGCTCGGTGTTCTTCAGGTACACTTTGTAGCACAATACGGCTATTGCTGATCCATTTTATTAACTGGAAACCTCCTGCTAAGCAGACATCTGTGAGATCCTTGATCATCAAGACGGCCTCTTCCTCAGAAGGTACACTTTTCAAACAATCATCCATGTAGAAGTTTGTGTGAATTGTGTCAATTACCTTTTCAGGAAAGTCATCTTTGTTGTCCTCAGCAGTTCTACGTAAAGCATAGCAAGCACAACTTGGGGACGACACAGCACCAAACAAATGCACTTTCATCCTGTATTCCACAGAGTCCTGATTGATATCACCATCTGGCCACCATAGGAAACGAAGAAAGTCAGTATCTTCTTCTGCAACTTTAACCTGGTGAAACATTGCTTTTACATCAGCCATAAATGCAATAGGCTCTTGTCGAAACCTCACAAGAACTCCCAACAGTGAATTTGTCAGATTAGGACCCTGCAGAAGCTGATCATTCAATGATGTACCTTTAAAGGCAGCTCCACAATCAAACACCACTCGTAATGTTTGCTTCTTTGGGTGATAAACCCCATGGTGAGGGATATACCAAACTTTCCCTTCATCCTGTTTTAATTGATGTAACGGTACTATTTCGGCATAACCGTGTTTAATTACCTCATCCATGAAATCTTTATATTCTTGATGGAAAATCTTGTTTCTTTCAAATTTCCTTTTCAATCCAATTAAGCGCTGTTTAGCCACACAAAGGTTGTTTGGCAACATGGGAATTTCCATCCTAAAAGGAAGATTCAATTTATAATGTCCATCTTGAAACTCAATTGACTTGCTTACCTTTTCCATAAAGGCATGCTCTTCTCTTGACATTTCCTTCTTTTCAACAGAATTCTCATTAAAGTCATGATTGTATTGTTTACCAAGCATATCCTCCAATTTTCTTACAGAAATCCTGTTAACAGTCACACCTGAACATTTGACCTTATTCCTGCTTCCTTGGAGTGGTCCATTTACAACCCATCCCAATAGGGTTCTAACTGCATAAGGTCCATCTCCATTGCTGTTTATAACCTCCCAGGGCTCCATTACCCTGGAAGCATTTGCTCCAATCAGCAAATCCACATCAGCAGGAATTTGAGGAATCTCAACACCTTTCAGATATGGCCAATTTTCCAAATCCTTTTGAGTGACAATGTTGTCTCTGGATACAGGCATTCTTTCTTGAGTGAAGACTTCTGGAAGACTATAAAAGGTGTCATCAAGAAGGTTAGACACTTCCAATCCAGTCAAAACAGTGCTATTAACAACCCTTTGATTGCCCATTGTTTTCAAAACAATATTAGTTTCCTTTCCCTTTAATTTCAAACTATGCATTAAGCGTTCTGAACAAAATGTGGCAGAACTGCCAGGATCCAAAAATGCATAGGTTTGAATTACCGTTTGTCCCTTGCTGGATTTGACTTGAACTGGTACAATTGATAATGCACAGTCTCCATCGTCACCGGCCCCTGTTTGACCACATGTTGTAAGGGCAACATGTGCACTACTTAAAGATGAATGACTTTGTTCTTGAGTGCACACTCTTTCCTTTTGTTGGATATGCAAAATGCTGGGATGCTTTTGACCACACACTGTACAAGTCAAGCGCTTATCACATCTTTTACTTATGTGTCCAAAAGAAAGACAGCCAAAACAAACACCTTTTTCCTTTAGAAAGTTCAATTTGTCTTTATGCAGCTTGTTTTGCATTTGTGTACACTGCTCCAATAAGTGATCACGTTTGCAGCACAAACATACAACTGGGGCCTTTGATCTTAAATCAGTCTCACAGCATTGAATTGATTTATTGTTGGTGACAACCGTTGTTGCAAAGCTGTTTCTAACTTTAGTCTTAGGTTGGAATTTCTGTTGCACAGGCTGGGTACTCTGGATATCACCAAACAAGGGATCTGATGACATTTTGACTTGACGTTCAACAAATATCACAATATCTTTAAACCGTGCTCTCTGCTTGCGTCTTTCCA